CCCCCTGCAGCAGCAGGTCACTTGACTAGTGTTGCGTGTTTGCAGTCGCGATAGTTAACATTGAGACCTTGCAAAAAAAAAAATATATAAAAATTAAAAAAAAAAAATCGCGTGCCTTTTCCATAGAGGTTATTATTTAAATTACTAAGTATTGATTTGGTAGTTTGGACACTCAAATTGTCACTCAAGCAATATGTCCTGTTGCGCCCCTGCTATCTGGTGTGCCAATAAATAGACTAAATCTAACAGAGTGTTTATTTTACAAATAGGTATAGCAAACTTAACCATGTCTACGTACATACATGAAATATATATTTACACTTACAAGTTTCAGGCAGCCCGGTGGCCAGTGGTTAGCGCGCCGACCTCACAGTGCAGAGAGGTACGGCGTTCAATTCCAGCTCCGTCCTCCCCGTGTGGAGTTTGCATGTTCTCCCCGAGCCTGTGTGGGTTTTTTCCGGGTACTCCGGTTTCCTCCCACATTCCAAACAAAACATGCATGGCAGGCTGATTGAACACTCGAAATTGTCCCCAGGTGTGAGTGTGAGCATGGATGGTTGTTCGTCTCTGTGTGCCCTGCGATTGGCTGGCAACCGGTTAAGGGTGTCCCCCGCCTACTGCCCGAAGACAGCTGGGATAGGCTCCAGCGACCCTTGTGAGGATAAAGCGGGTCGGAAAATGGAAAATTACAAGTTTCATCCAAATACTATTTAGCTATGCTCAATAAAGTCGGGCAATGGCAGCTCAGATTAATCACAATGTACCATACAGGTATATAATTTTTAAATAATTGTAAACTAATATTGTAAACCTATAACAAAGGCGCACAGACATTTTCTATTTTGCTACCCATTTCTCTTCAATCATTGCTGCTGAGTTTTCAAAATTATCATTGCATACCTTGTCATGATACTACCTTTGTCTGTTGTGTGTTTTAGCTGGGAAGATTTTGGCAAGCTACTCGACTGTAACTTACAAGTTTCAGACAAATACTATTTCGCTTTGCTCAATAAAGTCGGGCAATTGCAGCTCAGATTAATCACAATGTACCATACAGGTATATAATTTTTAAATAATTGTAAACTAATATTGTAAACCTATAACAAAGGCGCACAGAGATTTTCTATTTTGCTACCCATTTCTCTTCAATCATTGCTGCTGAGTTTTCAAAATTATCATTGCATACCTTGTCATGATACTACCTTTGTCTGTTGTGTGTTTTAGCAGGGAAGATTTTGGCAAGCTACTCGACTGTAAATGTTGAAGAGTTTGCACGCTTTTGGTTGCTATGGATAACATGTTAGAAATGTTGACAGAGTGGTGACCGACTAGATTTTGCCAGGCGTCCATACTCTGATCTGAAGTCCCAAACACCGGTTATGTTGGTTGTGGAGTCAATCTAAGGGGTTGTCCATGCAGAATTTTTTTAAACAACATAAAAAAAACTCCAAAGTTATTTGGGCGGGTAATAATTTTATCTGGGGGTGCGGGTGGTGAACACCCTCGAAAATGTGCTTAATGATGCCACTGGATCAAGAAAGAAAAATGTATTGAATCAGACACAGGCATTGACATTGGCATCTTACTATATTTTTGCACCCTTGCACACAGAACTAATTGAAACCAGTTTTGGTAATGGAGTTACAAATTGTCACATGGGTGAGGCTGTCACATTCGCAATGTGGAGTCAATCTAAGGGGTTGTCCATGCAGAATTTTTTTAAACAACATAAAAAAAACTCCAAAGTTATTTGGGCGGGTAATAATTTTATCTGGGGGTGCGGGTGGTGAACACCCTCGAAAATGTGCTTAATGATGCCACTGGATCAAGAAAGAAAAATGTATTGAATCAGACACAGGCATTGACATTGGCATCTTACTATATTTTTGCACCCTTGCACACAAAACTAGTTGAAACCAGTTCGGGTAATGGAGTTACGAATTGTCACATGGGTGAGGCTGTCACATTCGCAATGCTCCCAAACCCATCTCCTTATCCTTGCTTACTGTTTTGGTCTTCAACTTAAAATGTCATGTTGTGAAGTTGACATAGCTGACATGTCTGAATGTGTCTCCTGGAAGAGCCCATGTGGTGGAGGGGTATAAAAGTATCCCCCCCAAAAAAGCGGGCAGGTTCAAGACATCGCAGGATCCGAGACAATCTGATCAAGGACAGGCAGACTATTTATACACAGAATGGGCCACTCGTAGAGACTGTCACCATCACGAGGAAACACAAGAGCAGAAAAATAGCTTCTGAAACAAGATGAAACAATTGTTACAAAAGCAAAAGGCAGGACTAAAAACTGAGAATTTGACATAAGCGATATGAAACTCTAGTTCACACTGTCGGGCATGATGCCCAATTCAGACTTTTTGTTAAATCCAATCTTTTTATATACTCGTTCACATAACAAAAACAAATGGATCTTCTAATGTGAATGCATCATTGCAGCGCGTGATAAATGAACCATCAGTGTGGCTGAATTACGACGAGCAACACTCATGTCCACTTAATACTTCATGTTTCAAGTGGGATTGAAGTCAAATGTAAAGTCAACACTGTTACTCAAAACTATGCAGATTCACGGCCGATTGCCAGTAGCTTCCTTCCACATCCTCCTCGGATAAGCGTTCATACTGCAGATGCATGACAGACATATTTTATATTCGAATCGAAAAAAGTCCCAGGTTGGATTTAAAACAAACAAAAAACAAAAAAACATCGGAATTGTCCTGTTCACATTGCATGAAAAAAATCAGATAGGTGTCACTAAGGCAAGGGTGTCAAACTCATTTTTGTCGTGGGCCACATTTTAGTTACCCTTGGAGGGCCAGTATGACTGAAATCAAATAAAAAAAGTCAATAATAACGGTTTATTCAACTATTGTTGAAGTTATTCTCGTGAGTGGTTTGGGTCCAAGAAAAACCTTACAATTTATCTCTTATTTATTATTATTATTATTGAGAATTTAAAATTTTGTTCGACATTTTAGAAAGCATCATGGAAGTTGACACGTTTGATTTGCTTTCGCGGGCCACATCTGGCCCCCGGGCCTTGAGTTTGACACCTGTGCACTCAGGGGAAAAAAAAAATCAGAATTCAGTTGCAGTGTGACCTAATATTAAATAATTATATTTTCGAGCTTGCCCAAACCACTCAGCCCAGCATCAGGGATAAATTCAAGTCATTTAAAAAAAACAAACAAACTATGTACCAATTAAAAAAATACTGCTTAAATGTTAGTTGTCGGAAGGATGACAACGAAAGGATTTTCAATAATATGCGTTGTGTGCAATATAAAATGAGTTTAACGAACAAAGGTGGTACTGTCGTTCTATTTATCAGGACATGGCTGAATTGAATATGGGCCTGAGCAATATTGTCACTTCTGAGAATACAAATGTACTTGTTGTTGTATCCACGACAAATCCGACTTAAGAGTTTTATTGTCTTGATTTGTGCTGCTTGTCCTTGTCTGTGCTGCGCTATTTTATCATGACAGGTGTGTGTGTGTGTGTGTGTGTGTGTGTGTGTGTGTGTGTGTGTGTGTGTGTGTGTGTGTGTGTGCGCGCGCGCCGCATGTGTGTGTGAGCTTGCAGATGGCCCTGTAGCCTAATGTCCTTCTATGGGGGTATGGGGGAGACCGTCGCGATTACTTCTCAGGAACGGCCTGCACACACATAGAATTTACAAGAACGACTAAATAAGAAGCCATGTGCGCTTCATCTATCAGATGATTTCAAGGCCAAAAAAAAAAAAAAAAAAAATCAAAAATCCTTGATGGCGGATGGCATACATGTCTTAGTTGTGCGGATACTGCCTTATATTACAACGGGAATACTTTTTTAGCGGATTTGGAATGATATGCTGGACAAACGCACGTAGTATTGAAATTTTGCAGTGAGTTTATTTTTGTGAGAAAAAAAAAATGTACAAAATCATTTCTTGCACTTCATGTTGTTTCTTGTTTAGCGGTTTTGTGCCGTCCTTGAATCGTCATTTTTATGCATGAGAGCCATTTGCACTGGGAAAAAAAAAAAAATGCAGTTTGCGGTTATTTTGTTGTTTGCTTCAAAACCTTTGTTGTCTTGTTAGGATAGTACATCTTTTATACATGCTATGATCAAAAATGAAATATACCTCTGCACATTTACGTCGATATTTACAGCATTTCCTAACCTGATATAGGACAAAAATGCTGTTTTGAATATGGACATACATGTACAGCAGTGCAAAATATGTGCTGACGGTCCTATGTGGCCCCTCCAGCAGGGGGCTCTAGAGGGCAGGTGACCCCGGGAATCCACCTGGAGGTTATTTGCGCCCACCGCATCTTTGGCGTTATGTATCACCCATGCAAGCCTGAGTTGCAAAAGAACATTTTGCGTACCTTCTATTACGGCTCGAAGGCAAATCAGTGTAATAAGAACGTGAGTTTAAATATTTATCTGTGCTCTAGTTCTGCACCGTAAGGCACTCTCTCTGCTAAGTGCACTTGGAATGCAGATCAATACAGAGCTTAGTTACTTGTGGACGCTGATGTCTAAGCATGGCATCTGTGTTGGTGTTCATTTCAGGATGTTCCACCGGCATTCCTCTCCATAAACAACTGCCATTTTTTTTTTTTCAACACAAGAGTTGTATTTGATTTTTTTGCTGAATGTTTTCATCATCTTTTTGCAGCTAATTGTTTCTGTTTTCAAAATGTTATGATTGAAATGTTAACGAATTCAAATGAATGGTGTCGGGGGGCCGGGGGGGTTCCCCCCCTCTTCAGCGCCATTGTCATATTCGGCAAACGAATGAGGCCAAGAGATGAGCGGTTGTTCATTTTCAGGCATTAATTGAACAGTCCACTAGAAAAGAACTCATATCATGGATGTAACGATTCGTGTTTTTTCTGAAGTACATTTTCTTCGTTTTTCAAGATACTCTCATTATCTGTGGTTCGCCTTTGGAAAAGGATTATATGAGCGTGAGGCATGCGTCAGGCACTCGTTTGGAGTTTGTTTGTGTTCGTTCTCAACTTATTGTGCCCATCCTGTCACTTCGGTATTGTCCTAAATCCACCAAGAAGAACAATGCTGTCCATGTAAGGCCATGCCGAATAGCCTGGGGAGAGGACGAGACCTGTTTGTGTTACACCACCACTATAAACACACACACACACACACACACGATTGTTTAGAGCAGCATTTCACACAATAGGAAGACTGCCATGGAATGTACAAAATGGAAGTGATATTTGCAGAAATTAAAAAGTAATGCCTTGCATGTTTTCTCCGTACCTGCGTGGGTTTTCTCCGGGTACTCCGGTTTCCTCCCACATTCCAAAAACATGCATGGCAGGTGAATGGATCACTCCAAATTTTCCCTCGGTGTGAGTGTGAGCGCGGATGCTTGTTTATCTCTGTGTGCGCTGCGATTGGCCGGCAACCGGTTCAGGGTGTCCCCCGCTTACTGCCCGAAGACGGCTGGGATAGGCTCCAGCACCCCCCGTGACATTTGTGAGGATAAGCAGATCGGAAAATGGATGGATGGAGCGTTCATCAGAAACAGCCAGACAGAGGTTCAATGTGAAGAAGCCTCCACCTGACCCGCACCGCAGTGCCGACACTTGCAGAGAGGATGTGCTTTGTATTCTATTAGTGCTGTTGGGTGCAAAAACGTATGAAAGGAGTAAAGTTAAAAAAAAAAAACGGTGATATTGACTGCCTCTTGTCACTCCTCACTTCTGTTCCTCACTGCAGTGCTCTTATGTAATCTGCTCACTCGTCGCCAAATGTTCCAGTGCAGCGTGCGCGCAGCAGGAGGAAAGGGGCAAACATGTTTGGAGTACCTTTAAAGCCGTGACTTAATAATTGTCATGTTGCGTTGTTGCTCTTCGACCAGTGGTTCTTAATTTGGTTTCGATCGAACCCCAGGGGTTCGGTGAAACGGTCTCAGGGGTTCGACGTAGCCCATTGATGTTAAGACACACCCGACTCAACATGTCAATTAGTTATGACGCGCTCACTTGGCCATCACTGGCTGCAGATGATCTGCTCAGTAGTCAAAGTGTGACTGTCGTGATAGTACGTCATTTGATTTTTTTTTTGTTGAGCAATAAAAAAGAAAGTGATCGGACGAACATGGCCCACATGGATTCAAATGCATCACAGAACGTGATGGGACTCAGCATCCTATCTGCATGATTTGTCATGCCAAGTTGAGCAACTCTAGTCTGGCGGCGGCAAAACTGAAGGAAGACTTCTTGAATCTGATTTTTATTTTTCAGTAACAAAGGGTTCGGTGAATGTGCATATGAATTGGTTGGATTTGGTACCTCGAACAAGGTTAAGAAGCACTGTTTTAGACTGTTGAGATAGGCACTTTGGTTTTATCCCATGTTCGATGTACGTACGTGTGGAACAATGAAATTATTCTTCTGAAATCATTACAAACTGCACTAAAAAAAATTTCTCTGCTGTTTGCCACAGTTGATGCATTAAAACAAAAGTAAGAGTAAGTTTATCCTCGGCCTAATTTCTACATCTAAGTCCAATCAGAACCAGAATCAATTTTATTGTCATTGTTAGTGAAAGGTGCCGTACATTCACAACTAGAATTTTATTACATTTTTTTTCCCAGTCTTACCTGAAACATAAATGCTTCCAAGAAAAATACAATGTAAAATAGACCAAAGAAAATAAGCAATTTGCAAGGATCTAATGAAGAACCAAATGACGTGCTGCTTGAAGAGTTCCAATAGATGTAAGACGTCTGTACTGGAATATTTTCAATGGCCTTCAAAATCGCTATCATTCAGCCTCTTCTAAAGACGAGCACTCTTGACGTCAGGTCTGCCATTCGTTGATAAACTCTGACTTTATCCTGTCTAGTCATGCTTTTCATATTTTCCAATCACGCGTTTTACCACAGCACAGTACTGAGACAACTCTGATCCAGATGACAAATGATATCCGGCCGAACACAGAAGCAGACATCAGTTCTGCTGAAACTGCGCGCTTCATTTAATAACACAGGCTATCTGTAATCATATTAAAAGCGCTTGTTGGAAATCTTTGGTACTACTTTAAAAACTTCTATTGTTCAATAGGTACAGCATATTCTTCCCTTTAAGTCCTTCTATAATACGCCGCTACGGCGTAAACATCTCCTATGAGTGATGAAATGTGAGGTATGCGCGCGGTTCTTGCTAGCATCACGCGAGCAGTGTGGGATGAGTTCATGATTGTTCCCGCAAGTTAGTGACGGGAGACTTTCCATTTCAGTGATTTCCAGTTCCTGTGGATAATTTTTTTTTTTGGGGGGGGGGGTATGGTGGGCCGTGAGGAGAAAGTAAAAAACAAGCTAATTGTTGACGTCTTCAAAGCTAACAGGAGGGGGGATCATGGAATTAGTAGTGAGTGACGGGAGACTTTTCATTTCAGTGATTTCCAGTTCCTGTGGATAATTTTTTTTTTTGGGGGGGGGGGTATGGTGGGCCGTGAGGAGAAAGTAAAAAACAAGCTAATTGTTGACGTCTTCGAAGCTAACACGAGAGGGGATCATGGAATTAGTAGCGCCGCCCTCCCCTGTGACGTAGGATCGTGATTCGGTGACATCTTTTCAAAAGCGTTTGATTGGTGTGCGGTTCCGGGTGTGATGGAAATACGTTCGGTCTATTTTCGATACCGCTTATCCCCATTAGGGTCGTGAATGAGCTAACTTTGGCTGAGAAGTGGCATATGCTAGACTGGTTTCGAGTCAATAATTCATCATTTTAAATCCTGATCTTTGTTCGCTGATTGAAGAAATCGAATGGTTCTGCTGCTTTTTTTCCCCCCAACTTCATTTCAAGTTAGCAAATGTGCTTTCTTGGTCACACAACTGTCTTCTCAGAAGTCCCTGTCATGTGACTGAAATCAAATTGCGAGGAATTGCGTTTGTTTTTTTTTTTTCACGGACTTTATGATTTGTTGTCATTGTAAATTGTAAATCAGCGGAACTACTGTCGCTTGAATGATGTGAATCAACTTGAGAGATTTTGTGTGCAGCGGTATCTGGCCATTAAGTGGGTGTACACTCCGCTCTCTGCTCTGATTACATCATCAATGATGCATCCCAACCTCCACACTCACTTGCTCACTCTCGCTTTGCCAAGCTTTTAAATCCTCATCCGCTGACCCGCCCACCAGCAATTTTTGTGTTTCAAATCCCCAAGGCTGTGCAACACTTTTCTTTTGAGCGCCAAACAAACACACACACATCTAAATATAGTTGCAGCGCGATTTGAATTGGGTGGAATTGATTGAGATGTAATTAAAAGGTTTGAAAACAAAAATTCTATTTTTGGCCTTATTTGAAACGGAATTTCAATGAAGGTCAAAATTGAAACATAGGTTAATCTTCTATGTTGGGTTCATATTTTTATATCCGACTCCAGAGGAGTAGTGCCTCACTGGTCATTCATCTCACTGCATACGTTTAAGGCGTAATGAGTAAGCGTTCAGTGATTTCCGTCACATTTGGCAGCTCTGTGTGCAAGCCACGTGACCGCTGCTCTTATGCCCTTATGCCCTTATGCCAGTAATGTTCCAAAGCGCTGAGAAGGCAGTATGAAAGCGGCAAAATGAATGAGGGAGCGCTCACACTGGGTCCGTATTATTGTACTGTGCTTGCTTGTCATCCATCAGTCGTCCTCCTGGCAAATGTATAGAATGTGCTGCACTCATTTGTACTTTGGCATTTCATCACTTTGCAACTTTCTTGACTTTGTGCATTATATTTATATATGCGGATGGCGGTTGTCTGGTTAGCATGTCTGCCTCACAGTGCAAAGGTACAGGGTTTCGATTCTGGCCCGGACCTTCTCGTGTGGAGTTTGCATGTTCTTCCCCATGCCTGCGTGGGTTTTTTTCCCCGGTACTCCGGTTACCTCCTGCATTCCAAAAAACATGCATGGCAGGTTAATGGAACACTGAATTGTCCTGCGGTGTGATTGTGAGCGCGACTGGTTGTTCGTCAATGTGTGCCCTGCGATTGGCTGGCAACCAGTTCAGGGTATCTTTATTGGTCACACTTGACTGAAGGCATGCTTTCGTTGTCTTTACAATGACAAATGTACTCTGTGTGTGTGTGTGTGTGTGTGTGTGTGTGTGTGTGTGTGTGTGTGTGTGTGTGTGTGTGGGTGTGCGGGTGTACTTAGAATGATGAGGTGGTCCTACAGTGTTCAGCCACAATCCATAAGGAGCAACAGAAATTCTGCCTGGCTGCCGAAGGCTTCGGAAACAGGCTGTGCTTCCTTGAATCCATCTCCAACTCCAAGGTACCGATTGGATCTTTACGCTTTTTCATTTTCTACAAGAGTATACCAATACAGATGTGTCAACAATGTGCAAATGTGCAGACAAAAAAAACCCAACATTCTGTTCTTTCTCAGAATTGATACAATTTCATTTGAGGTTAACTTGGAGTATGAATTAAAATGCAACACTTTTTTGTGTTCGCAATGAGCCAAAGTTCAATCATTCCAAAGGTTTGCGATGAAAAAGACGGCGTGAGAGCCTGTTCGCCACTGCTTGTAGCGAACCTTTTTTTTTTTTTGGTTGTCGTTTCAGAATGTCCCTCCAGATCTGTCAATCTGTACTTTTGTGTTGGAGCAATCACTGTCAGTTCGAGCCCTTCAGGAGATGCTGGCCAGTACTGAAGAGAAGACTGGGGGAGTGAGTTGGAAAATATTTACAAAAAAACAAAAAACAAAAACAAAACAAAATAAAAACCACATGAAGAGTAGCAGGAGTTTCCCAAAACGTAACATTTTAGGCCAGGTGTGTCAAACCTCAGGCCTGGGGGCCAGATCTGGCCCGCCACATCATTTTATGTGGCCCGCGAAAGCAGATCAAGCCTGTCACATTCAATGATGCTTTCTAAAATTGATTTTTTTGATTTTACTTTTTTATATGGTCTCCCATAAGAGAAACTTGTCTCGGAGGACACAATTTTAAATTGTCATATGTAATAAATAAAAGAGATGTTGGAAGTATTTTCTTGTTTCCAAACCCCTCATGATAGTAATTTAAACAATAGTTGAATCAACGTTTTTTGTTGACTTCTTGATATGGTTTCAGTTATAACGGCCCTCCAAGTGAAACGGTAACTAAAATGTGGCCCGTGACAAAAAATGAGTTTGACACCCCCTGTTTTAGGCAGTTCAGCAGTAGTTCAGTCAGTTTTGCATCAATAAAAAAACGAAAAGAAACCTTTTTGGTGGAGGTTGTAAGACAATTATAAAAGACAATTATAAAACAAAAATGATGAAGGCAATTATAAAAGGAAAATAGGTACAAAAAAATAAACTCTGTGATAATTAATTTCGTTTTTAATTTTGTGTAGTTATTTTTAAATTTCTGTTTCAAGCTGGTACGGCAAATAGTTTGGAATTTTTCATGATTTTGTGGTGGTGTGCAGCCCTGTATCCCTCTAGAATTGGTTTGCCCAAGCGCTAAGCATAACTTCACATTCAGGACCCAAATAAGACTAATCTGTAATAAATAGGGTTGGGAATCATTTGAATTTGGATGATTCCGGTTCCGATTCCGGTTCCTCAATTTGATTCCGGTTTCCAATGATTCTCAATAAAAATAAAAATAAATAAATAAACGAATACATTCATAAATAATTAATAAAAATAAAAATAAATTAATAAATAAATAAATAAACGAATGCATTCATAAATAATTGCATGGTTTAAATGAGGGAGCGAAAGATTTTTTTGGGGCGGGGGGAATTCAATCATTTGAACTTCTCTGTTTTTCGATTTCACAATCTTTTTACTGTTTTTTTTTTTTTTTTTTTAAACCAGTATATTAACCCTTTCAGGGACAGCGGTTACTACAGTGGACAGGGTGCATGAAAGGGTTCATATCAAACCTATACATTTGAAATGTTCACAGGAGGGCTTTATTTTTTCCGAACCTCAAGAAAATACAATCACGCAGCAGGTACTCCAATCGCTACTGAATACCTGTTTATGTGGTCCCCTAATATTGGTTTTCTATAGATTATCGGTAGCTGTGCAATACCCAAGAGAAGGTACCCAAAGACCAGTGAGTCCCATTCCCTTGTGCGCTCGCTCTTGTGTCCAAAAATTCTACATTTACTTTAATGTACTTCAGTTCATCCATCCAGACCTGACCTGAAAAACTGCACTCAACCCCACTCACCCATTCCGAATATGCTTATATTTATATTTTATAATTTATATTTACTAATATACTTTTGTTCTTCTACTTCTCCCTTTCATCATTTTTGCTTCTGTAAATTGGGAATTTCTCCATTGTGAGACAAATAAAGGTTTTCTTATCTTTTCTATGACAGCAATGCATGACAGGAAAAATAAGTAAAAGGTCTTCCAATAGATTGCAAAAGGTAAACTTAACCAAAAGATAAACAAACCTGTTGCCATTTCTGCAACAGAATAATAGCTTTGTGTTCAACTAAACTGGGCCAGATTTCAAACCTAGTTGGTAAATAAGTGAGCAAATTAAAACGAGAGCATCATTATGATTATTTCAGTCTATATACTTTTTGTGGTATTTTTGTTCAGTGACGTGCTGGCAGATTGAATTTAAAATTGAGTGAATGTCGGAAAACACTGCATAATGCCCTTTTTTTCTCACCACAGATGTTGGGATTGTGTTTTTGGCTGATTCACACTTGTTGTTCTTTGTTCCTATCATTTCCTTTTACCAGACGATCCAAGGGGGTGGTCATCGCACTTCGTTATATGGCCACGCGATCCGTCTACGCCACTCTTACAGTGGAATGGTCTGTACGCACACCGCTAGAATTCCCGCGTGACATTTCCCACCCCCC